TAACTAAATACTCTCTCTTTTGTTGTAATTAGTTTTAAATTAAATAGTATATATATATATATATATATATAGATCAATCTTCCAAATACTTAAAGATTTCTTTGACGGAACAGTTGTTATACATCTGAACGAACTAAAATATATTCGATAGATTTAACTTACGGATGTAAAAATTAAATCCGATTCAATTATAGAATTTTTAATTAAACGAACATTCGAGCTTTTCGAAATACCTTGTATAGGGATATGCACAAAAGGTTTACCAGCATTTTCGCAGGATGCATACTTGACATTTGAGAATGTTAAATTTGATACTTGCGCGAGAAGTGCGCGTGAACCGCAAATACCAGTACTTCTCTTGCACACTTGACTTACCTCTCTTCTGGTTTTCTGGCGCAACACTGCTTTCTTACTAGTCCAAGACTAGCGACAATGTACCGAGTCGAGTGTGAAAACCGAATGCGAGTATCGAATGCTCGACAAATACCCGACGGCGGAGATCATATTCCCCTATCTTTCTTTCTTTCTTTCCATCTTTTTTTCCTTCCTTTGTTCTTTTTCTCTCTATTTCTCCACGGTGGCCGACAGTTTTATCGCTTTTCTCGCGCGCGAGAAGCTGCAAGTCGCCGGAAAGATTGCGGTTTCGCGAGAGGAAAGTTGACTTTATTAGACGCCGACGGGCGAAAGAGGAGGAAGGAGGAGGATAGATGGAAGGTTCAGCGAGGAAATTAATTCGATTCAATTCTGTAGGAAGAAACTGAATCGCTAGAGTCCTTTTCGGAATAACAAAATACACTCTCTATAAATAATAAAACACGAGATTGAGTAGATAAAAAGAAAGAGAAACGGAAAGAAATAGCCATATAAAAGAAAATTGAATCCAAGCAGACGAAAAATTGTACGAATTAATTATAATGTTATTATTAAGACTTATTAAATGTCGTTAATCTACCTGCTAATTCTTAATTGCTGTTGAACGAGTTGGCGCACAATTAATAATGATTCCTCAGTTTTTTGAACACAATATTAATTACTCTGATAATTTAAAAACACAAAAAAGTAAGAGAAAAAAATTATTGAAATCAACACTTGTGATCGTGCATTCATTTTTCAAAAGTCTCGGGATTCGAAAGACTTTTCTACAATCATCGGCAGATTGCTAAAAATCAGTAACTATGAATGAATCATTTTCCATTTAATTTAATCCTCCTTTCATTCGATGCAAATTCAAAATAAATGCCGATTTAATTGAATTATTATAATACTATCAGTTATACACAATCGTTGATTTCGAACGAAAGCATTTTCCGGTTGGATGTTCCAACTTTAAAGGTTCGTTCCGAGCGAAAGGGGTTGAAACGATTTGGAAATGTCGAACAGCGATACCATTATTGTTCGCGTACTGCGGGGGAGAGAATGAGACGGCGTAAAATCGTCGGTAGTTCGTTTCTTTGTCGCGGTCGCTAGCGATCGCGAAATCGGAGTAAGTGTCGCAAAGGCGAGAAAGAGAGAACTTTATCGGGCATATACAAGTTTAAGATTACCCGAGCCAATCAAGCTTTGAATTAAGGAAGCCTCTCGGGACGGTTTCCATGACTACCACCCCGTCTCTGTGTGTGTCTCTCTCTCTTTCTGTCCCCTTCCGATAACACGGCTCTTTCGCTCTTGCTTTCCAGCTGATGAGAAAGGTCACGGGGTCACGCGAAATCTCCCTCCCGGTGCATCGCGGTGCCGCTCGTCAACCTCCCCGTTGATCACTTGATATCCCAAGTTAACGTCGCAAGCGCTCATAAAAAAAGTCGTGAAAAGTTTCAGCGAATCCGCCGAGATAACTTTCAGTAATTATAGACCGCGATTAATTTGAACGCAAAATTACGACAATATTAATGCCTGAGAACAATTTGCGATTGAGCGTCTTTTGCGATTGCGCTTTTATTCGGAGAGAAAACCGCGAGGAGATGAGAGTGGAGCGAGAGCGAGATGCGCGCGTTCCATTTAGCGAAACTCACGCACAGAGCGTCGCTCTAGCTCGCCGGCGTGAGAAACGTATTCTCATGGAAGACGCGTTTGGAAAATATAGCGGGGGATCGATCGGCTGCGTACGTGGAGCCGCGTACGTGCGACCCCATACACTGGCAGACAGGTGCATGCGCCCCGTGCGAAGTGCTCCGTATGCGGAGTGCATCGGCAAAGCGCAGCTGGCGCGGCCGATAGATACAGCGGAATGAAATCGCATGATGCATGCAGGGGATAGATGCCGAATTCTGTGTTCGAGCAATCGTGCCATTTCTCCGTGACGAGGATACTTCCCGCGTAAGATGGTAAACAATTTTCCGCGTTTCACACTCGCTTTCTCCGAGCAAAGCGATTCGCGGAATGAAACGCATTCGTCTGTAGCGAGACACTCGGCGACGAGTGCGTTTATTTTTTTTTTTTTTTTGAGAGAGAGTAAATATCGTTGTGTAATTCTTACTTTGTAAATTCCGTGATATTTTTTTAAATCGATCGTTTAAAGCAGCGAAAATAAAGATTTTAGGATTTCTATAACTTTATTTTCCCAATAATTCTATCTATTTCCGCTTGCATTTAATTAAAACATATTTGGCATGTTTAATTTATGATATATTCGTAAGATATCTTGAAAACCTTCAACATGTATCATAATTTATCGAGAAACTTACTTAACTGAAAGTCAAGAAAGCAATCACATTAATTATATATATTTTGTTACATCGCCGTTTCGAGTAATATTTTCTAAGAGAACATCTTGAAATTTAAGAAATTCGAGAAAATCGAGAAATTGCAAGAAAATATCTTTCTATAAAATTTTTCCAATTTTGTTTAAGAAGTTTTTTCTAAAGCATCTCCAACTTAATTTAGGGAATTTTCACAAATTGCCTCGATCCGATTATTTTGTTTTACGGCAATTCCCAACGCAAAGTCTCAGGGGTTCTGTTTAAACTCGTTATTGAAAGAAAATCGACTCGAAGTGTGTAATCTATATCCGTTACAAATATTGGTACTTTTAAAGAGTATTTCTTTAGATTAATCCTAACATTTGCTTTAGATCCAATTGGAACTTACTCTCTCATGGGATATTTTAAATTACTGTTTTAAACCGGAACTCGCTGGATGCGCTGATCAAAATTAATGCATGAGAACTCATGTCTAATTTGAAAATACATAATTTACTTTTAATTGTGCCACGATGCCAATAATTCCGAATTGCGCATTAACAATGCACATATAAAACAATTTAATCATTTTAATATTATTTATCTAATAAAAAAATTAGATTACGGAATTGAAGATGAAAAAAAGAATAGAAATATATATATATATATATTCAAATTTTTTCTTTACTGTATGCTTACTACGAAGTAATCAATCAATTCGACAGCGGTACAGAGTTAAGAAACGAAAGGATAAGCTTTTCTCCGAGCTTTCAACGCGAGAAAAAAGAAAATATTGATTTTTTTGTTAACGCCGAACCGAAATCTTCGCGGTTTTCTTGCCGTCTAAAAGCTTGCCCGAGACGCGAAAGCAACTGACATTCCATTCCCGGCATAGCTGAAAAGATTAACGTGATTAAGAGAGCGCTTTGTTATAAAGCAATTCCTCGATCGAGATTCGCCGACGAGGCGTTAAATTTTTAAACAAACATCCGCACTCTTCAATTCGCACCGAGAAATTGCATACGCGCGCGCCACTAGAGACCCTGGTTAACTCGCGCTGTCGTTGGGTGGCCAGATGGAATAATTTCCATCGATCGAAAGCCGTCTCGAGCCTCTCTCGAGAGCTTTGGCTGGAAGATTTTATGCGGCCGCCCACTCCCATGTTTCGTCCGATAAATCAAGACTACCCGGCGGCTGTTAAGACGAGTCGCCTGAACTACACTTCTGCGACGGCCATTTGTTTCGAAGTTGGTATGAGTCACACTCTTGAGGAGAAAAAAAAAAAAGGAAATTACAAGAAGAGAAAAAGCCATTGTTTCGCTATTTTTTTAAATAATTCTGTAGAATTAAAGCTTCTATTTTTTTTATTTTGCATACAGAAAATATGCGCGTGATTGCTGTGTTTTTTTATATTGTATATAGCTTTGCACAATTTTTGGACATGCTAGATGTCAACAATAATACCTTCCGGTTTAGAATTATCGCTTCGAATTTATTGATCAATAAAAAAAGCGATAGTTCTTGAAAATATAATTGACGATAAAAAGGGCAAATGAGAAGTAACGCGCAGTTATTTTTATCTCAATAATAGACAATGCGTGCTTGTTTCTCATTTGTCTTTTGTGTCATTTATCAATTAACTTTTAACTGATGCTTAATCGGAAATGCTCAGTCGGAAGAGCGACTAGCTTAGTGTACATTCTCTCGCACTTTCAAGCGTGAACTGTGCCGCGTTTCCGAAATCAAGATAGAGATTAGCAATTTGTGAGGCAACTTTGAAACTGAAATTCAAAAAAAGCACATTGTCAGAGGAGAAAATATGTTTGCAAGCGCGGCTTACGCACTGTTTTTTTTTTTTACGCACGGTAGTATAAGTAACAAAGCGCCCGCTCGCTTGACACGTAAATAGAGAATGTAATGTTCATACAGCCGGCTTAATTGTCCTGCTCGCGCTGTTGCAGCTGCGGAAGCCAGTGTCGACTCTCTCGATCCCGGGGGCGATGAAGAACAGCGGCGGGGTGGCCGGCGGGGGCGGCGCGGGGGCGGCCGGTGCGGCTGCCGGTTGCGGCAGCGCCGGGGGCGCCGGTGCCGGCGACGACGCCGGCATCGCCCTCGTGGGTGTCCACTCCGAGTATCCCCGTTACATGGACGAGCGCATGGTGGCCGGCGGCGGCGGCTCCCTGAAGCGCGGCGGCAGCATCGGGTCCAAGCACAAGCCGAACGTCGGCTACCGGCTCGGAAGGCGGAAGGCCCTGTTCGAAAAACGCAAGCGCATCAGCGACTACGCCCTCGTGATGGGCATGTTCGGCATCATCGTCATGGTCATCGAAAATGAGCTGTCCAGCGCCGGCGTTTACACTAAGGTAAGCGAATGTCCCGAAAGTCACGCGCTTCAAGCTCGACAACGGCGCCGAGCACACGAAATATTATTACTGCAAAAACTCGTTCGCTACATAGCTATCGGGCATCCAATTAATTTGCACTTGACCCGCTAATGGGGTAGTCAAACTTTCCCCGAGGGTCTCGTAAACTTGCTTCGGTGGGAAATTCCGCATGCTCGCGTGCGGAAATAAACTCGAAAGATTATATATACGAGGTCTGACGATATAAAGCTCTCGCAAGCTCATTTTATTTTCTTCTTGTGCACTGACGATTGGCTGTTGTATCGACTGTTTTTACCTTCAAAGTAGTCCCTTTATGATGCAATGCGCGAAGATATGCAGTTTTTTACACCCGATAGCATCTCCGGAACTCCGTCTTTCGAGTTAGTTTTTATGACCACCGTCATCAGCGTCGTCAAAATGTTTTTCTACTTCCCACAGTTTAATCTTTATAAATTCTGCGTATTATTTTGTGTATTTTGAGTCCACTTTTTTTCTAATAAAAAAATTTAAGCTTTACTTTAATAAATTTACATTTGTTCTTTGCTATAATAACGTGTCCGCCGCGTTTGCCATCGCTCTCCGCCAAAGCACAAGGACACGTCATGGCAATAATAGCTCCGCCAAATTAGCTAAAGTTAGCTATATTGCTGGTGATTACTCTTAAAAGTTGGTGTCATGTCACGAGACATGCATACCTTTTATATAAAATTACGACGTGTCGACAAAAAACATGCGACCTTACTTGTCAGACTTTACGTAAATTTAATAAATATTTTTTTTGTCGTTGAACAATCACATTAGGAACAAAAGATTAAGTAAACAAATCGATCACAACTATATTCCTTTTTCGATACTGCTGATAAAATATTAATTATAACTGAAACTAACTTGCTTAGAGAGCGATTTAATTTCTTCTTTAAATCATAAATATAATAAAATTCTATAAATTTAATTTTAACGCAATAGATTAGTGCGACAGTTTTAAATTCCAAAGACAAACCTTCTATTTCTTTAATTCTTATCTTTAAATTCTAACTCATCCACATAAATCGCACTTTCCGGCAAGGTTTGCAGTTCCGAAGCGGAGATCTCAAAGTAACTGTTGATTCTGCATTCGGTTTTTCTACAAGTTTTCGCAACTCCCTCACACATCGTTATTGATCCGTTATTCTAACATACATCATCGGCACAATTATCGGCAGCAGCAGACTTCTTGTTTCTCGCTTAATCTTCGCGGTAACTTTCTGTGAATTGCGAATTGTAACTTTCGCTTGTGAATTGAAATCTATTGTAGGGACTGTAACGGAACGAAAACGAATGGCGTTTCGCTAACATACACCTCGATGGAAAAATACTCGTTGACCTGATCTTGTTTCCTTTGCGCATAGCACGTGTATAACGCGTGTCGTGCACACAGCGAGCCTTCGGATACAATTAACGCAAGGTCTTTCGGATGGCGCGTTCGCGATACACCTATCGGGCATTCGCAATTAATTCGCACTTGACCCGCTAATAGGGCAGTCAAACTTTGTCCCGAGGCTCCCGTAAATTCGTCTCGGTCGGATCGGCTCGCGTGCGGGAATAAACTTCTCAGCAATTCAGAAGTTAAATACCGCGAGCGCGTGTCACGGTCTTGGAAACTTTCCCCGCGCTGCTGTTCACGAAATTGCTGCAAATATAATTATCGTTCGAAACGCTTATACAAAATTAATACAAAATTAACGCTAGACGCGGCGGTAGGCCACAAATAGGTGAAACTTCTAAACTAAAACTTTCAACAACTGTGTAGACTTACTTTTTGCTCGTTAATTTTTTATCATTGGTATAAATTTAAGATAGCCCGATGTTTGCCTCAATCGATGAAGTTCCGTATTATTTATATCCCTTCTTATTCTATACTAAGTCTCCGCGGACATAATTTGTCTCTTTGCTACTTTATTATTATTTCATTAACTATTTATCACGCGTGGAATAAAAATATGACACGCATTGTGTCTTTCGCCTTTTTCTCATTAATATTTTATTCTATGCATAATATACTATGCGTGGAATATGAATAAAGATAATAAAGATATAATTAAAGAAGACGGAGAAATTAATGCATTTTTAGAATGAATTTTGTAGACTTAATGACATCTGATTGTAAAATTTGTACTGATAATAAGAACAAAAATTACAATTATATTTGATTTATAAATAGTAAGTCACTAAACAACTTATTTTACTATTTAGATATTATTTTTATAAAAATAAAGTTGAAAAAGTAAAAAAACTTAAAAAAATTTACGATTAAAATTAACGACGCTATTATAAAAGATTCATAAACAAAAAAGGTAGCGATTTTGTGCAACATCGAGTGTGTAGTTCAGTAACGTTTGACGTAATACATTTTGATAGTCATAAATATTGCTTGTACATCTTGCTTATCGTGGTCTTTCTCTGCAGAATACTGTGAATAAATTATTGCGAGAGTCACCGATAAATGATAAAGGTGCACAATCGGATCCGAGAAAAGCGGAGACCGAGACGGTTCACTGAATATTTATCGCCGGTCGAAATGCATCGCGGCGAAACGTTAATTTATTCGCCATCGATCAGAGCCCTTGAAACCGTGTGAAAAGTGCAGAACGATGTAGCCGCGTTAATATTGCACCAGCTGTAACAAAAAGGGCAAATCAGTAGCAACAGATTTTATATTTGACGGGATTCTTAGCCGATTCATTTTCACTGATTCAGCGTCTCGTAATTTATTTATTCTAGCTGTAACTTTTTTGTGTTTTAAGGACAAATGATTAAAATGTTACTAGTTAAAATATTGATAACAAAGTTGAGATACATTTTTTTGTACAAATTGTAGATCACAATATTTAAAATATTTCGATAAATTACAGAGAATGATCGAATAAGAAACAAAAAATTTTAATGGCGATTAAGTTTTCTTAATTATATTCTTTCGTTAATTTGTCTGTTTAAAATTTGCTAACGGTGATTAAATTCCGCGAGAAAAGAATGCGAATTCTTCGATTCCTCGTTGTGTACGAGAAGAATGACTTTTTGCGTGTACTTGGTGGATATATGTGGATTTTCTTGGAACATCTCTCAGACATATATATAGACGGATCGCGGAAACCGAGAGAAACCCGCCGACAGTCGTCCCGGCTGCTTTCAGCCCGAAGGAGCTTTGCGCTTGAATGCGCGCGACGTGAGATGAAGACCTTCCACGTCGGCAAATGTATCCACGACACCAGCATTCTCTGTAGCTCTCGAACAATCCTCGCAGGATGTAGATCGACCCTTTTCTTCCACCCTCACATCGTCGTTATCCTTTCACGTTTTACCCCGAAAGCCGACGTCTCAGCGACGGCGAAGGTGGAATCAATGCTATCGGGACGGGCTGCTCGCGCTGTCACGAATAACAACTCTTTCCTTGTATGACAAGTTCCGCCACATGGATTTGAATGATAGATCTTTGCGCTCGCGAGCCAACAGGTTCAAGGACTCGCGCGATCAATAAGAAATATCCATCGGAAGCATAAGTTGACAAGCGTTTCTCTGTTGAGAAACGAAGAATTCCAAATTGCAAATATTTAAAGATTCAACATTCTGCATTCGTACGCTTTTCCACGCGCTGAGTGCAAGCGCGTTAGTGCTCCCCGCCTGCGCTCGTATCGTAGATTTATTCCGTTCTGTTACGTCTATATTCCGTCTCTTATGGTTCTATTATGGGTCGCCATGTTTGCTATTAATTAATGCACACCCATCGGTACTTATATTGAAAATTTATACCTCTGCTTCATTATAGCTCGACACGCCCGCTATTAAATTCTTTATTTAAAACAGCGGGTCAAATTGATTTATGTTGCAATGAAATATGTAAAGATTGAAAATCGACGGTCTATGCGCTTCTCCAAACGGGGAACGTCAACGTATTAATGCACACACCCGTCTGCACTTGCATCGGAAATTTATAATTCTACTTTATGGATCACCGTGTTTGCTATTAATTAATGTACTCCATCCGTACTTATATATCGAAAATTCATAATTCCGCTTTATTATGGATCGCTACGCTGGCTATTAAATCCTCCATTTAAAACAATGAGTCAAATTGATTTATGTTGTACGTTGTCGGTATTAGTGAGCCGCAATGCTCGTTGTTCGAAGTCTAGTTATAATTATGTTCCGGTCGAAATCGGTTAGTTTATTGGTCGATGGAACGGCCGACGCGAACGGGACAAAATACGAAGTAATATCGAAGGACTCTTCGGCGAGAACGAAGTGCCGCCGGTGAGTTCGGCTTTATTAAAATTCACCCCGCGTTCATCCGCAACAATTTCAAAACTTATGGACGCTCGGCACGCGGAATTCGAAAATGCCTCGCGCTCGAACGGCGAGGAATGTTTCTCCGCGAGCATCCCAACGATTTTCCTCCGCACTGCAGAGAGTAACTCCGAGTGCAAACGAGCGTCAATGCGCAGAGAGTTAAAAGGGTCATTATTTATTAAGAAAATATATTACGCCTGCGATGCTTTGAGTTGAAGCTTGATAAAACCGACGGGTTGCTGCATGAAGAGGGAATAGCAGAGAAGTATGATAAAAGAGGGTCGAATATTTTCATCCTCTCTTTTCGCACTTTTTATATATTCCGAGTCGGGCAATGATATTAGACGATAAAGCGTTGAAAAATGCATGTCGTCGTTGATTTGCATAAAATAATTTTTGCCTTTGAATATTTTCTATTTTTATTTATTTATTTAAAAATGTTTGAGCACCATTACCTTCAACAATTATTTCATATCCTCTCAATCAAAAAAGGCGTGGAATTTTTTAATTGTTGCCTCTTTTCCGCGATGCTCATTGGTCACTTGATGCGCGTTTTGCGTTACTTTGTACAATTGAACAGTTGTCATTGCAAAAGTTGCATACTTTAACAGTTCATATCTCTATATCACATTTGAAAGAGAACTTAAATGACGCAA